GAGAGAGAGAGAGAGAGAGAGAGAGAGAGAGAGAGAGAGAGAGAGAGAGAGAGAGAGAGAGAGGAAATAGATTCGGCTTGGCGTGCGCGTCAGAGGAAGCAGGCGGGCCTTGGACGAAAGACTGTACTTGCCTGGACGAATGTGGTCGAAACGGGAGGAGGTTATAGGCTCTACATGAATTTCCACACGATGAATTACAGAGAGACGCTCGCAACATTGGCAAGATAGAAATATGCCAGCACACCATCCAGACGAATTCACGTGTCCCCTTTAAAGGGACTTCGCGGGAATACAGAACACGAGAAACTCAGCAATACTTTCAGTTGAGTAAAAGGCGTTCCTCAGGTGCCAGCCCCTGGTTCGTCGACTCTTTTCTTTTTTTCTTCTTTTTTTTTTTGTGTGTGTGTGTTGGTTCGTCGACTTTGCTGCATCCATTTGCACTCTGCTCAAACAAGCAAAAAGAAAGTCTACGACTCTCTCTTCCGCCAGTCACGATCCCTCCACCCTGCCATGGCCATCGAGCAGGTCTTCACTTCCCGCTCCTTAACGAGCCTACCTGGTAGTGTAGAGCAACGAGAGGAGTTGTTAAGGGGCTACCTGTAATTGCACTAGCCATCCGCCAAAATTCTGAATGAATCTGAATGGGGAATATGTCCCGATGCATTCACAATCTGGGCGGATGGCGAGTAGTGCATCTAGCCCCTCAGCCTCCCCACAGCGTTCATTTGGCTGGTGGTCGATAAGTGAACTCTGTGGGGAGGCTGAGGGGCTAGATGCACTACTCGCCATCCGCCCAGATTGTGAATGCATCGGGACATATTCCCCATTCAGATTCATTCAAAATTTTGGCGGATGGCTAGTGCAACTACAGGTAGTATGGAGTTCTTCGCGGAGGTGATGTTCGATCTCACAACCTTCGTTCATTAGCCTTCGCAATTAGGCTTTTCCTACGATGCGATGCGCCCATCTTTTTCTCATTTCTTCTTTGCAGGGGGCTGGGGTGGGGTGGGGTGGGGTGGGGCGGAGGGGGGGGCGGGTGCGGGAGGGGCGATGGGGAGAGAGCGGCGGAAAGGGGGGTTGGAAGAGGGCAGCTACCGCCTTCCCCCCAATCGAACACACGGTCATTATAGCTCTATTTGGGGCAACTTTCAAGCTAGATACACCGATAATGAGCGTGCGTTTTATTCGGGGGAAGACGGTGAATAGAATTAATCAGGATTTGGAAACTTAACCTGGGGATCGACGGATGTAGATGTGTAGGAACTAATGCGCCTAGTGCATGCACCAATCGTTGCCCCAGAGAGCTATTCCATCTGCCAACCACTTGTTGCGTCACATCATTGACCCAAAACACAAGGTGAAAAAAAAAAAAAAGAGAGGCTACAAAAGGAAAGCGCAGATTTTTTTCTGTTCTGTAAGCGATATCTGTGTGCCCATAAGGGCCTCGCCCCACCACTCATCAAATGTGAAAAAGACACCAATATGTCGAGTGCATTTTCCCACGTTCTCGCGGGAAATACATTCTCATTTTGCACATTTGGTGAGTGGTGCGGAGGCTCTGTATGTCTCCATTTCGAGAGAGGTGAGAGTTCCGATGGCTGTGCGCAGGGGAACTCATGTTCGCTTTTTGCGCGACCTGCCTCCTCGTCGGTCGGACCGGGCGAGCCAAAGCAAGAGACAACCGCGCAGATCCTTATATAAGCCCATGACGGCCATCGTCCCAAGAGGGTGGTGGGTAGGCAACAGTGCACTCAGCACATTCCCTGGCTTCATGTGCGTGTGTGCGCCCGCGCGTGCACGCTGTGCTTGTGTTATGTTTTCTGTGCATGTCTGTGCATGTACGTGAGCGAGAGAGAGCGGGGGGGTATGCGGACCTGTGTCGTCCTTCTTGTACGTGTGTATGTTCAGAGCGAGAGAGGGTGGGGGGAGCATGTGTGAAAAAAGAAAGAGAACGAGAGAGAGAGAGAGAGAGAGAGAGAGAGAGAGAGAGAGAGAGAGAGAGAGGGAAGGGTGGCAGTCGAGGAGACCCCTGTCTCTTATACACATCTAGATGTGTATAAGAGACAGGCGGACATGTGTTGTCTTTCGTGTAGGTGTTTCTGTATCTACGAGTGTATGTTCAGAGCGAGAGAGGGTGGGGGGAGCATGTGTGAAAAAAGAAAGAGAACGAGAGAGAGAGAGAGAGAGAGAGAGAGAGAGAGAGAGAGAGAGAGAGAGAGGGAAGGATGGCAGTCGAGGAGACCCTGACCGCGACTTCCCTTGGAGGAAGCGAAGCAGCAGCAGGAGCAGATGGAAAGAGAGAGAGAACGACATTCAAGCAGACTTTCGGTATCGACGACGACAGTGAGGGAGGGAAGGGAAGGGAAAACTCGCACGCCCGTACTTCAACACCAAAGGGTATGTGAGCGTGAGAAAAGCCATCGAAGTACTACATTGATCCCATCCAGACCGCTGCGTGTTCCACACGCAGCGCGCTGCGTTTTGCGCATGCTCGATCACAGTGTAGGAACGTGACAAAAACCAGAGTGAACAGAATGGTGATCTTCACCTTGCCACAGAATACCCGTGTATCAGTCTGCCTCCTGATCCCCTTTCTGTCAATTCCCAATTCCTCCCGTTTTCTGTCAATTCCTCCCTCCCATCCGCATATCTTTAAATGTGCTCGCTCCTGTGTTTACCGACCCCGGATCGAACGGTGTTACGGCCTCCGACGATATTGCGAACGGTCCCTCTAATCCCCAACTCGATGCTGTAATAATCAATACCAGGCCACTGGATCAGATCAGATCCGTCAGATCCGTCAGCTCTGATCTGACAGCCGACGGATCGTCGTCGATCTCTCTAAAGCCCGCCGCAGCCAGCACAGTCGACGACAGCACTCCCTATACAGCAGAGTATATACAGAACAGAACCGTTCGCTATCAACCAACCAATGAGCAAAGCTCGATCCGTCGTCAATCGAATGGACAGACTGAATCGCTTCCTCTGCTGGTGTATGTATGGCTCAACTTTGAGTGTTGGCGCCAAAAGAACTTAAGAGTGGTGGCGTCACTTCGCATCATCAGCGGTCCAGGGGGCACCAGCGAAAGAGGGCAGGGCGGGAAAGGAAGGAGAGGAAGAAAGGCGGGAAAGGAAGGAGATGAAGAAAGGCGGGAGAGGGAAGGAGAAGGGCGGGAAAGGAAGGAGAGGAAGAAAGGCGGGAAAGGAAGGAGATGAAGAAAGGCGGGAGAGGGAAGGAGATGAAGAAAGGCGGGAGCGAGAAAGGGCGGCAACGAGCGCGTTTGCGCGCTGCGAAGGAGTCGGCGGGAGTGATGGTTTTCAAATCTACTAGTGGTGTTGTGAGGCCATGACAGTGCAGTGCTCAGCACGGGCGGGGCGGGGCGGGGCGGAGCAGAGGGAGTAGAACCAGGGGACAACGCGGGCGGGGCAGGGTCGCGGGGAGAAACGGGCATCGCGCGGCGCGGGCGGCTCTTCCCGCGCTCCCCCGCTTGCTACCCCCTGAGTGCGTCGCCCGCCTCCTTACATTCCCAAACAGCCAACCGCCCCCTTCCTCAGTGCAGGACCCCGCAGCCAGATGCAGATGCGGGGTGGTCCGTCCGCTCCGCTGGCCTCTCGCAACTCCCCAAGTCGTTCTGCGAAATTCACAGAAACGAGGGCAGAACGAACTCCGCCACCCCGCCATCGCGGGGCCCGCCATACGTTATGACCCGCCGAACGCACGTCGGCTGCCGTTGGCTACTGTAGGTAACTTGTACGTACGGGCATCGGAGGGGCCGCTGTGCCAAGGGCCGCCCGTGCCTTCAGGAATTTTTCTGCCTGAACACTGGCCCGTTCTTCACTCCATCTTGAATTGACCAGTGCCGCCGATTTTTTTATTTTATTTTTTTTAATCTTTATTATTATTATTTTTTTTGCTAAAAAGCAGACTCATATATTCAAGGAAGAAACAGTGTGGACCTGGAGGGGGTCCAGGCTTATTTCCGAGGAAGCATGGCTGACAGACTACACGGTGCCAGCAGGATACGAACTCCAGCAGACAGCGAAGACCCCGAGTGCGGTAGCTGTCCTCAGGTGGTCGCGAGTCACCACATATGACGCTGATGAAATCGCTCACGACATCACTCGTTGTTGGGAGCAACTGCAGTACGCTCCGGTGCCAAGAGCGGCCGCATTATTTGTGGCTTCTCTCGTTACTAGTTACCCCCTCGGCTGTGTGGCTAGTACAGAGAGGGATGACAGTTCAGTTACAGTGTGGGAGTTGCAGGTGGCCATTCGAATCAACGACGTCTATGGCTGTCCTGCCCCCTCTCCATAAGAATAGGGGACTGGTGGAGATCACACTGGGACAGAATCAGTGGTCCAATATTCCCATGGGACGATAAATGGATTCTCCTCGGGGGAGTCCCGGACGAGCTCCAGTTGTACAGAGGCTGGGGCTATGTTGCCCAGGCCCTGAGAGCCTCGCTGTTCTCAGTGATCTGGGAAGTCAGAAACAAAAAGGTGTTCGAAGGAAGATTCATCTCCGACCCCGCCATCAAGGCTTCAGTCAAAACACACATCAGGCGCGCAATCAAGGGTGACTGGAGAAGAAAGGTCGRCGGTACAGCACGGGTAGCCTCAGGKGTGGAATGGTTCAGRACTACCTGGGCTGAAGGAGGCAATTTGGTRAAAATGGAGGGCAGCTCTTTCAAGCTCGACCCGTGGCTGCTAGACGGAGTTTAACAACCTAGATGCTCGGTTTTCGTTCCGCGAGTAGGAAGGCAGTAGAATGAGGGACGTGGGGTTTTGGAGTGAGCATCTCCGGGTCACTGGAACCTTTATAGGTTCCTCCCCTCCGACATAGGAGGGTAGCAAACAGTCGGTTGGCCGGTAGGCTAGGCAGTAGTCTGGTCTATGTTTGGTCTTTTGTCTATCAGGGGGTTGGTCCCCTGCAGGGCTCTCCCCTGTAAGCGAAACTGGGTAACGCTCCCAGATGGTTCCCTCCGGGTAGACTGTGAGGACCCCGGCCTCAGAAATTTCGGCTTTTGCAATGAATGTTGGATTTCGGGAAAAAAAAAAAAAAAAAAAAAAAAAAGGAAGAAACAGTGGTAATGCTTAAGCTCTTCGTAAAAGGAGATACGGTGTCCTCTTACCACCGGAGCATACACTGAGGCCACCGCCCATGTCACCTCCCCTGACCTCAACACTACCCACGCCCACCTTCCCCAGACATCTGCGTAGTTCGCAGCCCGTCAGGGGTGCGTTTTATGCCCTGGGAACATTCCTTTTTTTATGCCCTGGGAACATTTTTCGTCGTCATCATTTTTCGTCGTCGTCACCAAACGGTGCGGTAGTTGGAAGGGTGGTGTATTTGCTGGGGGTCCAATTCGTGGGAAATAGGCAGTTCAAGGAAGTGCAGGACCGGTAG